TCAAGCCATATAATTATGCAAAATAGCACAAAAGTCAAATGATTATCAGCAAAAAAATGGTTAGTAAGGAGTTTTATGTTGAGCTATTTCTCATACAATTGAATTTGCTTTCCTAAATAATATATATAATAAATATTCTTGGAACTTGACTGCAGCTCATTTCTTGTGTGGCCCTGGGATTTGCATTCCTGCAATTGAATTTGTATGAGCTCTTCCGGCATCAGAATCGGATACGGAATCAGGGCGGCTTATCTGCACGCGCTGAAATGACAGCTACAGCTACAGATACAGATGCGAATCCGAATCTGAATCCGAATGCGGATTCAGATACAGCTGCCAAGTTGGTCGCCTGGCTAAAAGTTTTATCAGGGGAAAAGTTGCTCTGTTACTGGGGCGTTTTTCTACGCTTTTTTGCGTCCTTTGTTCCCGTCCTTTATCGCACACTGTTTTTTTTATTTTGTGTCTCCTTCAGCGTACGTCTCTCCTAGCCTCGGTTCTAGTCCTTGTTTTTTTGTTTTTGGGCTAAAAGCATGCAGGCGGCCATTTTTATGCAAATCAAAACCGCTTTTAATCTCTTTAAGCAACGCGATACGTGCCACGAGCCAGAAATATGACACGGAAGCGGAATGGACACGTAATTAAAACCGCACGTTAATGGACACGATGGCCCGGGGGCCAAAGTGCCCCAGAATCTGCCCCTTTTCGCACGCCCGGAGAAAACTATTTGGGGGAAAATGGAGGCGTGGCCCAGCAGTCCCTTCTCAGCCGAAAAATACAACAACAAAAAATACAGAATAAAGAACGAAAAACGAAAACAATGAAGCGGACGGCAATAGCCGTCTAAAACTATTTCAATATAAAATTCATTTCGTTTGCAGCATCAGAGGCCAGCAAACAAACAAGCCGCACAGTTCGAGTTCGAGTTTGAGTTCGAGTGTTGAGAGGGGAATAAGGATTTTGACTCGGATTTGCAGATGCGGATTTGTTTTTTTTTTTTTTTTTGGGGGGGGGAGGGAAAGGATCCTTCGACATTTGGCAAAAACCGCGCTAAAAGTTTCCTTGTTAAGGCCTCAATAACTGACGCCTTAAGCTGGCCCATTAAAATGTATTTTCCGACTTCTTTGTTTATTTACTTATTTATGTTAAGGTATTTACTATGTAGTATAATTTCTTCTTTGATTATAGTTAAATTTCAACTACAAACTCTAGAAATGAATATGGATTTCCTTAACCCAAACTCATTGCCGCCGAAAACGGACACTGCCTCAAGGTACATAGCTCCTCGGGGGCGGACAGGCAGTGCAATTAGAGCCAAACACAAGTCGGTGCTTTGGAGTGCCCGGGGCCAGGATGTTCTGGCCGTAACTGTATCCCATATCCTGTCTGCCACCGAGTCCTTGTAGGGCTGAGTGCTTTGCATTTGAATGCAGCTTGTTAGTAGCAAAGGTGTGTGTGTGTTGCACAAGGAGTGAGTGTCAGTGGAGTCTGTTTAGAAATCGTTTCGATAAGTGCTTGGAAATGGCTTCAGAGATATATTGAATCAATTTTCTAGAATTTTGTCATATTAATTGTCAAGCGATTTAATTTATTTATAGATAAATAAACATATTCTTGTTAAAGAAATATTTCAACTGCACTCTCTGCCAGGCCAATTTGGCAAGAAAATAGTGGCTTATAAAAGACTTTACTCTCCACTCTCTTGCGCCGTTCGAGGTCTCTGGGTCAGGGCATCCTTTTGCCCCCCATCTACTTTCGCCTCCCCAAAGGACCTTTTGCAGCTGGAAAATGTGCTTCTTATGCTTTGCAGGCTACATAAAAATGAAAATTTTATTCGCTCCGTAGGCCGTTCCAACGATCGATGCCAGATATGCCTGTCACACTAAGTATATCAAGTGTAATCAAGTGCACACACTCACATACACATATGTATATAGGAAAGTATATAAGGCAAGACCACGTAGCATATACACCCTTCCATATAAAGATATATATTGTATATATATAAATTTGCTTGTGGGGACATGACTTGGATGTTGGCTACATTTATTTAAATCCCAGTTACAGGCCATTTGTCGTATTAAATAAAACTTACACGGACACATGCGAAGGACGAAAGGAAAAAAAGGGACACGAACGGATTGGAATAGTGAGAGGAAGAGGGGAAGTCCGGGACCGGATGCGGATACGGGTCTGAGAAATAGAAAGAGTAAGAGTAAGAGTAAGAGAAAGAGGTCAAAAGCAATGCAAAGACAAAGTGCCGGCAAAATGAAACGTGCAAAGCAAATAAACACATAAAAGTCTAAATTTAATGCTAAAAGCTATTGAAGCATGTTTAAGCCCAGACCGAGTCAGGGAAAAAAGAGTCAGGAAGAGAAAGAGAGTGAAAGGAAGGAGGGAGGGTGAAGAAGGAAAGGCAGAGGTAACGACGTGTGCTGAAATGTTCGGCTTGAAGGACTTTCCAGACATGACAACAACAAATCGGTCGCTTGTTGATGTCTCTCCTTCTCTGGGGAGTCCTTCTCCTTCTGTCTCCTTTTCACTTTGCTTTGCTTACACTCTCCGCATCCGCAGCCGCATCCGTATTCCATAGGCGACATTTTTATGGTCCTCAATGGTGGCCCAAACACGCATCCCGATAAGCGAAATCAAATGTCAAAGTGAGAATGTAAACACTTCTAAATGTATCTGTATCTCTGTCTCCGCGTATGTGTGTGTGTGTGTGTATGTGTGATGGCCGTGTGAGTGATACCAGGAATGCCATAAACAACGTGTCCTTCGTGTCCTGCCCAACAATTGATAACAAGACCCTCTTGGGAGACAGCGCCGTGTCAGCTGTTGTTTTGTCATTTTAAACACATATATTCTTATTAGACATTCATTTTATTATTCCCAGAGATTTAGATATATTAAAAAAAAATTATGCTATTGATTCATTTAAAAAAATATCGTTTTTATGGTCTTGCAAGGTATTGTTATATTAATCAATAAATTGCAGCACAGTGAAGGTGTCAATTCAAAATATTTGAAAAGTACTCAATTGTAGCATACTGTTTTGGGCAGCAGAACACAGCTGCACGATCATTGAATTAAAATTTGGCAGTTAAAATAATATATTTATTTCTGTAGTGGTTGTGAAAGACATGTTGTTGTTGCTGTAGGCAAAACTGTATTTAAATGCGAATGGCGGATATTATCTTTTTAAATTGAAACACAAATTTTGCAGGTAAATTAATATATGTTATTTATTTTCTTGTTGTAAATTTGAAATTGTTGTTGTTGTTCTTTTTGTAAATACTGTGGTTGTTGTAGGCAAAACCAAGTCTTCGATTTGGTCAAAAATCAGAAATCGGAATAATTTTAGTGCAAGAGTTTTCGATTAACTGCTGAAATGCAACCATGTGTAGCTTTTACTATCGGCTTCTGGCAGTTTGAAAGAGCTTTGACTAAAACAACTGACATGGAGCCATCTATAAGAATGACAATCAGCTGACATGGAGCCATGTACAGCACTGACAGTTAGGACATGGAGGCATGTGCAGCAGTGACAATCAGCTGACATGGAGCCATGTACTGCAGTGACAATCAGCTGACATGGAGGCATCTTTAGCAATGGCGATCGGCTGATGACACGCTGCATAAAAAAATCGTCATCGATATAAATCGACTTACAACTTATTGTAGTGTGACCGCTTTGACTTTCCGCTGGTTGCCTGCAGCCATGTGCTGCAGCGACGATCGGCTGGCGTGGAACCACGTGCAGCTTTGGCTTCCTACGTTTTGGGTTATGGTGAATGCACTCAGGAGAAGCCACTGGATCAGGATGAGTTGGATCAAGAGCAGGGCGTGCTGGTCACAGCCCGCCGCGGGAAGTGCAGACAACTTCGCTCCTCCTGCCCATTGATGAGCTAACCAACACCCCCTCGCTGGCCAAAGGAGAAGAGCCTCGATGACCCGCATTCTGATGACTCTGGCATCTCGGCCTCCTCGCAGAGCAACAACAACCTCCAGTCCAAGCAGCAGCTGCGGCTCAAGCTGACCGTGGTCACCCGCCAGGAGCAGCGTTACATTGGACCCAACTGCCTCAACATGACACCGGAGCCGCCGCAACAGAAGCTCATCACCAGGACCATTTTCAGTCCGCAGCTAAGCGGCCTGCCCCAGAAGCGTCAGTGTGCCTTCGGTGGTGCCTCTACCAAGGGCGTGATGCAGTGGTGTATGGCCTCCCATGGCAAGCTGGTGACACCAAATAGTCCACAGCCGCCCGTCTCGCCATTGGGCAACATCAGCAGCTAAGGGAGCAATCAGAATGCAAGTCATCAGCAACAGCAACACCCTTCCTGGAGAACGGCAACTCGCCAACGGGCATTACCACGATCACCCTATCACCGGCAGCCATCGAGCGGGACACAGAGGGCAGGCCGTTGCGTTGAGGCTACGTGCCCGTTGAGCAGAAGATCCAGCAGGAACTGCAGGACCTCAAGTCGCGCGAGACTGAGCCGAAGCGGCTGCGCAAGATTGGCAGGCAGAACAAGCTGTGAGTACACGTCAAGGCTTTCAAGAATCCTCTTATCATCTGACGTTTTTTCGTTTCCAGCCAGCTCAGCACAGACGACGATGACGATGAAGACTCAGGTGGAGCACTGATATGGACCCGAAAAACTGCGCAATGCAACGAACCGGAGATCGTACACAAGCCCGCTGGTAATCACAGCCTGAATGCAACCGCCATAGGATGCGGCCGGCCATGCCGCTGGCCCAGCTCTGTGATCCGACGCCCAAGGAGGCGCCCTCATCGCGAGGCTTCATTGCCGAGTGGAAGCCTGATCAAGAAGAATGCCGAAAACGGGACAGTTACTGAGGCGGTCATCAAAGAGGACGAACGGCAAAGGGTAGCATATGCTGCTTATTAACAAATTAATGTAAACAATTAAAAAATTTCAAATAAACATATTTAATATATTTTGTTTTTGTTGTTTTAGTTTAAAATTGTTGTAAAAGATTTTTTTATTGTTGTTGTAAAAGAGTTGTTTGTTGTTGTTGTAGGCAAAACCCAGAATTCAAGTCGGTCAGATTCAGTATAAAAATTTAAATTTTTGGGTCTGAAGTACCAGGCGAACAGAAACCGCAGCAAGCTGAATAATTTTAGTGCAAGCAGCGACGATCAGCTGACATGGAGGCATCTTAAGCAGTATAAAATTGTAAATTTTTGGGTCTGAAGTACCAGGCGAACAGAAACCGCAGCAAGCTGAATAATTTTAGTGCAAGAGCTTTCGATAACTGCTAAAATGCAACCATGTGCAGCTTTGACTATCGGTTTCTGTAAGCTTTACAGAGCTTTCACTAAAACAGCTGACATGGAGCCATCTACAAGAGTGACAATCAGCTGACATGGAGCCATGTACAGCACTGACAGTTAGGACATGGAGGGATGTGCAGCAGTGACAATCAGCTGACATGGAGGCATCTTAAGCAGAGACGGTCAACTGACATGAAGCCATGTGCAGCAGCGACATTCATGACGTGCAGCTATGTGCCGCTGTGACGATGCTATGTGCCGCTGTTACGATGAGCTGATGACATGCAGCCATAAAAAAGGATTATAAATGGAGCCTGCTTAGTCCTTTCCTCCTATTGGGCCACCACTGACCCGCCGTACGTCGTCCATTGAGAATTTTGGGCTGGGGGGTGCGGGTGGTGCAGCTCCACTGGCGGTGCTGGCTTGTCGTTTAATTGCTCAAGCCGCGCTCTGCTTGGGGATTATCCGCTTGCTCACTTCATAAACACAGCCAGGCAGGAAATTGATGGTGGCTTCAAGATCTTGATGACATGCAGCCATGTGAGTCAATCCAAATATAGTCAACGAAATAAAGCGATATACAACTTACTGTAGTGTGACCAACTCGTTATTCCCGAAACATATATCGAAGTGTGCCCGCTTTGACTTTCTGCTCGTAGCCCGCAACCATGGGCTGCAGCGACGATCGACTGATGACATGCTGCCATAAATTAGCATTATAAATGGAGCCTGCTTAGTCCCTTCCTCCTATTGGGCCACCACTGACCCGCCGTACGTCGTCCATTGAGAATTTTGGGCTGGGGGGTGCGGGTGGTGCAGCTCCACTGGCGGTGCTGGCTTGTCGTTTAATTGCTCAAGCCGCGCTCTGCTTGGGGATTATCCGCTTGCTCACTTCATAAACACAGCCAGGCAGGAAATTGATGGTGGCTTCAAGATCTTGATGACATGCAGCCATGTGAGTCAATCCAAATATAGTCAACGAAATAAAGCGATATACAACTTACTGTAGTGTGACCAACTCGTTATTCCCGAAACATATATCGAAGTGTGCCCGCTTTGACTTTCTGCTCGTAGCCCGCAACCTTGGGCTGCAGCGACGATCGACTGATGACATGCTGCCATAAATTAGCATTATAAATGGAGCCTGCTTAGTCCCTTCCTCCTATTGGGCCACCACTGACCCGCCGTACGTCGTCCATTGAGAATTTTGGGCTGGGGGGTGCGGGTGGTGCAGCTCCACTGGCGTTGCTGGCTGGTCGTTTAATTGCTCAAGCCGCGCTCTGCTTGGGGATTATCCGCTTGCTCACTTCATAAACACAGCCAGGCAGGATATTGATGGTGGCTTCAAGATCTTGATGACATGCAGCCATGTGAGTCAATCCAAATATCGTCAACGAAATAAAGCGATATACAACTTACTGTAGTGTGACCAACTCGTTATTCCCGAAACATATATCGAAGTGTGCCCGCTTTGACTTTCTGCTCGTAGCCCGCAACCATGGGCTGCAGCGACGATCGACTGATGACATGCTGCCATAAATTAGCATTATAAATGGAGCCTGCTTAGTCCCTTCCTCCTATTAGGCCACCACTGACCCGCCGTACGTCGTCCATTGAGAATTTTGGGCTGGGGGGTGCGGGTGGTGCAGCTCCACTGGCGGTGCTGGCTTCTCGTTTAATTGCTCAAGCCGCGCTCTGCTTGGGGATTATCCGCTTGCTCACTTCATAAACACAGCCAGGCAGGAAATTGATGGTGGCTTCAAGATCTTGATGACATGCAGCCATGTGAGTCAATCCAAATATCGTCAACGAAATAAAGCGAAATACAACTTACTGTAGTGTGACCAACGCGTTTTTCCCGAAACATATATCGAAGTGTGCCCGCTTTGACTTTCTGCTCGTAGCCCGCAACCATGGGCTGCAGCGACGATCGACTGATGACATTCTGCCATAAATAAGCATTATAAATGGAGCCTGCTTAGTCCCTTCCTCCTATTGGGCCACCGCTGACTCACCGTACGTCGTCCATTGAGAATTTTGGGCTGAGGGGTGCGGGTGGTGCAGCTCCACTGGCGGTGCTGGCTCGTCGTTTAATTGCTCAAGCCGCGCTCTGCTTGGGGATTATCCGCTTGCTCACTTCATAAACACAGCCAGGCAGGAAATTGATGGTGGCTTCAAGATCTTGATGACATGCAGCCTTGTGAGTCAATCCAAATATCGTCAACGAAATAAAGCGAAATACAACTTACTGTAGTGTGACCAACGCGTTTTTCCCGAAACATATATCGAAGTGTGCCCGCTTTGACTTTCTGCTCGTAGCCCGCAACCATGGGCTGCAGCGACGATCGACTGATGACATGCTGCCATAAATAAGCATTATAAATGGAGCCTGCTTAGTCCCTTCCTCCTATTGGGCCACCGCTGACTCACCGTACGTCGTCCATTGAGAATTTTGGGCTGAGGGGTGCGGGTGGTGCAGCTCCACTGGCGGTGCTGGCTTGTCGTTTAATTGCTCAAGCCGCGCTCTGCTTGGGGATTATCCGCTTGCTCACTTCATAAACACAGCCAGGCAGGAAATTGATGGTGGCTTCAAGATCTTGATGACATGCAGCCTTGTGCGGCGATCGCAACATCGTCATCAAAATACAACTTATTGTAGTGTAACCAACTCATTTTTCAGTACTTTCTTATCGAAGTGTGACCGCTTTGACTTTTAGCTGGTTGCTTTCAACCATGTGCAGCTTTGATTATCGGTTTCTTCCAGCTTTACAGAGCTTTGACTAAAACAGCTGACATGGAGCCATCTACAAGAGTGACAATCAGCTGACATGGAACCATGTACAGCACTGACAGTTAGGTCATGGAGGCATGTGCAGCAGTGACAATCAGCTGACATGGAGGCATCTTAAGCAGCGACGATCAGCTGACATGGAGCCATGTACAGCACTGACAGTTAGGACATGGAGGCATGTGCAGCAGTGACAATCAGCTGACATGGAGGCATCTTAAGCAGAGGCGATCAGCTGACATGGTGGCATGTGCAGTAGCGATGAGAATTTATCGTCATCTAAATTTATCGATTTACTGACGTGGCGGCAACTGATCGATTATTTAAATTCAAATTCAAATTTGACGGTTAACCGTTATGGCTGTAACATTTAATTAAATTCAAATATTAGTTTGGCGATTACCTGAAAGCAATATCTATAATCTAATTTAATCTAATTTATTTGCAAACTGAAAGGGTATTTAAGCTTTGGCTTTCCGAAGTAGGTTCCATCCTTGTTTGCTTTGTTTGGTATGGCATCAAACCGTTGGTGGAAAAGCAATTTTAACTAATTTTGAACAAATTTGTCTGCATAATGTAAAGCGACCATTTGAATGCCGAAAACAAACGGGCACACACACACGGGTACACACTGGAAAACGGAAGGACACAGAGACGGACAGTACAGGACATTCCGGAAATTGGTTTCATTTGGGCCAAAGGTTTGTATTTGTTTGCTGGTCGGTCAGCAGCGAAAACAAACCAAACCAAAGCCAAAACAAAATAAAACTAGACCAGAGACCAGGGACCAGAGAGCAGTTGGAAAAAAAGACAATTTGCCACAGTTTAATGCCAAAAGAAATATCTAAAAGTAATAGCTGCTGGCGCAAAAAAAAAAAAAAATATATATATATATATAAATAAAATAAAGCAAAAAACTCAATTTTACAAGCAATTAAAACTTGAATTGAAATTGAAATGTTTTCATTTCGAGTGGTTTGTGAGGGCGCCCAAAAAAAAGACATGGCCAACGGAAATCCACCAAATGGTTTTGCATATACTTAAGCCTGGTTAAATGCCAGGATAAAAGTTTATTTTATTTGTATATCTCAATTAGTTAAATTAAAATAATCCATGTGTAGGTAGACTATTTTAATTAAAAGAAAATAATTGCAGAAAGAAAGCAACTACCTTTAAGGATTATTTAATTATTTTTCCTCAATTTAAAATTAGTTTCTTTCTATCGATTTCATTTAGATTTATTCTTTTTTACCAGTGTCTCGTAGAGAGCTTAAATGATCCTATTTGTGGACATGTGGTTTGCCCAGCGATCCAGTTTCGTTTGCAGTTCGGTGTCAGGCTCAAACGCTTTCAATTGGATTCCTCGTTATTGGTCGACGGCAAGTGCTGACAATTATCCCCGCACAAACACACACACACACACACTGAGAGGGGTCAGATGTCCTGCAGGATGTTGTGTTGGTTCGACATGGCCGCTAATCCTCTAGAAATGGCCAAAGTCAACTATTAGCGAGCGTTACGCTGGCCCGGTTAGTTAGCAGGGCTTTGCCTTTGGCTTTGGCTTTTGGCCATGGCTTTTGGCCGCCACTGTGGGTCTCGCTTCCCCTTGGATTAATTGCTTTATGAGCTGCAATAAAAGCCACAGTGTTCGGCAGCAGGAGGAGGACGAGCAGCTACCGCGTCCTGGTCAGTTGGCATTTTGTGAACTGCAATTAGCAGCAAATAAAATAATTTACGATTGTAATGACCAAAAATGCCATGGCCCGAGCAGCCGTTACGAAACTTGTAATAACAACAAATTGCCAACCGAAAACGAAAACGGAAACGGAAATGGTAGCGGTAGCGGGAAAAAAGAAAGAGAGAGACAGAGCTCACTCGCACACAGCTTTCGGAATGCGGTCTGTGTTTTGTGACTTGCCGAGCTGGCTTCTCGCTTCAATCTCAATCTCGGGCTTATTAAGCCACTTGATATTTATGGCCAGTTGGAGGAAAGAGAGAAAGAGCCAGATGACACGTGGCAGTATTAACCAAGTAATAAACTAATTTCAATGGCCCAGTTATAAATTATGCGAATATATATGACATTTTTTTGATTATTCATAGTTCATTTTCTTCACAGAGGAAGTGCTAGGGAAAAACATTGATTGTTATTCTTCAATGTGGAGTTTAAGGATAGGAAGTTTCCCTCTATGTTTTTCTCTTCTTGGCAAACTGGCGAGAAAAATTTTTACAGCAAATGAATATGAATGAGTGGCGCGCAGGCAGGCAAACAGAGTCCTTCCTGGCCATCCTGCTGGCTCCATTCAACTGCACTTTCTATGCTTCCTGCCCTGCTGTGGCCTGTTGGTAATCCCACGCAAAAGTGTTGAAAAGCTGAATAAATCACAGTTTGACCCAAGTCCAGGTCCAGAAAGCACAACTCGACGGACCGAATACCCAGCAAAAGGTGATTGATTATCGCGATTATGGCGATATTTATCGAAAGGGCCCCCTGCACATCCATATATACACACCCAATTGTGGCCACACGATAGGCAACCATGAGAGGTGGAGGCATTGCCCAGGCACTGGCACTGGCACTGGCACCCGGATCCCCATGGGTGCTGGAGCATGCATAAATAAAAATGTGGCATGTTGGGTCAGAAATAGCATGACATTCTGCCAGTTAGCCAGCCAGACGACACAAAATGGCGGCAGATACGGCGCACAAAATGAAAATGTTTAGCAAAAGGGTTGGCCCCGGCGAAATGTCCCTCGGGGTGGCGGGTGGGTGGTTTGGGTTAAGGGTGCCACTGCCGCTGGGGGTGTGAGCCCAGTGAGCCATAAAAATCAATAAAGTCAACCGTCCCCATCCCATCCCATCCCCCATCGTTTGTGTTGGCTTTGTCGGTCACCTGGTTAAGTCATCAATGGCCAGGTAAGTAAGCAAACGAGTTACCAGCATCGCCCCCGTCCTGGCCCTCTGGCCACTCCCCACTGCCCGCTGGTCACCCCTTGTTCAGCTGGCCAAATTTAAGTTCAACAATTTCCCAACTAACAAGCAACCAAAATTCATAATCAAAACGGTCAGGGTGGAGTAAAAATAAGAGGCCATGGAAAGCATTTTCACATACACTGAAAACCAAGTCCTTGTAATTTGTAAATCCTTGCAGTGTATTTGAATTTTAGTCAGAAGCTTAAAACTTTGTGAAGGAATCATTTCCGACCCCATAATAAATATATATTCTTGATCAGCATCAACAGGCGAATCTTTCTAGCCATCTCTGGCAGAAAACTAAAATTTTCAATAAAAAAAAGCAAAGGGGATACATCGTTAAAATTATCAAAAATTGGCAAAAAATTTAAATTTTAAATTGAGTATTAAGAACTTATCAAAAACTAACATAATCCACTTTCCGAATTGATGCGTTTTTTAAGCTTAAAATATAGATAGATATTGATTCAAAGAATGCGAATATTTTAAGTTTAGTTATGATCTATTTACGAATTGATTTTATAACTTTCTTGAAAACTTTCCCCAAATTCCTTATAAAATCTAAAATCTTCTATGCTACTGGCAAGTTCCTTGCAATTTTTTCACAGTGTCCTTTTGTAGCATATGAGACCATCCTTTTGGCAAATATGTCAAAGTTACACTCCTCCCCTCCCACCCGGCTTTTCCTTCTCGTCCGCCGCTGTCAATTGGCAATTGTACAAAAATGTTTTTTCTTCCATTTTTTATAATGTCAGTGTTGGTGGGGGTGACAGTGGGGGAAGTTGGTCACATGTTGGGCTCTTCATTAGCAGCAAAATGATTCGGCTGACATGCAAAAGCCCCTCCTGCGGCTTGTTAGTGTCCATCGCACACAAAAGCCAACAATTTCCATAGGACCTTTTCTCCTCCTCCGACCCTTGACTGCCTTTAAGCTTTCTACTTCCCTTTTTTTGAGAGCCGCTTTTTTGCTTTTTGCTTTTTGCTGCTTTTTTTTTGGAGCTCTTGTGCAGCTATTTGTTTTTTGTTTATGCCCCTCGACTGTCGACAATTTGTTGTGCTTTTTATGGGGACAATGAAGGGGGTGCCGTGGTGCAGAGGCATGTGGCATAAATGTTTCATAACTGTGGGCTTAGGAGCAGGGGGAGGCGTGGCTGCTGGCCATCGCAAAAATTATTATTGGGGGAATGAACACTAGGCCTGCGGCACACACACACACGCACTACCCTGCACAGGAAGAAAATGCTGACAAGGAAATGGAGCAAGAACAGTCTCAAGAAGTTCGGCAGGTCTAGGAAAGTTTCACAGGACTTTTGTGACGAAACTTTATTTTGGCCAAGAATGTTAATGTTATGGAAATATATCCTACAGGATTTCAGACAGTGCAGAGTCAGACCAAGGTCCTTTCTATGCAAATCGTTTGTCTTGCACCGCCGTTCAGTGCTGGGAAAACCCCAGCTCAGTCTTCAGTTTTCACCCCTCCGCCGGCACAGTGGTAATCGACTTGGGTCTGACCCACCATTAACTATTCAGCAGGCGAGGAGTCATCCAGTATGCTTGAGAAAAATGATATATAAATGCCTAGTTTACTTAAAATAATGCCTGGTATTTATAGTTGGGTCTTAAGGTTTCAAAAACTATCAAAACTATCAGAAAAAAGTACACTGTAATTATCAATTAAGGCAAAAGGAAGCGGGTAGGTAATTTAAGTAAATTGGTTTCCAGTTTATTTCATAATTGCAGGAACTATAACTTGGTCCTGGCTCTTGGATATTTTCCACTAATTTCGAAAACATTTCATGGTCAATTGAGCTCCTTTCTTTCGTTCTTGTAGTACTGTCGGCCCATTGCTTTTGGCTGCCACTGTATCGTAGTATGCTACCATTTTGAAA